TTTACCTAATATCTTTAACCTTAAATAGGAGGATGCTACACCTATACATTGAGCATTAACTTGGTGGCTTACAGTTCTTGCCATAAGTACCTGTTTCAGGGTGAGCAAATGACATTTCCCAAGGTGAGTTTTCTGATGCTAACAGCAGTGAATCATGCCTGTGCTGCATTTAAGTGGCCTATATGACATGATGACAACTCAAGACCACAATTAGCAGGATTACCAACCATTACTTGGAAAGATTTAGATTAACAAAGGATTGAAAATGACTTTGAAATTAAATTAACAGGTTCATGATTACATGAGATTGTAGCGATTGGGTTTACATCTACTTTAATATCACAAGCCGGTGTGAGGAGTTGACAATATCCCACATATTCCAGAATCAAACAAGTATAAAACATTTTACTTCTCCATGCAACAGCTTTACAGTAAATCCTCCTGTTTACATGGTTTTGAATATGTAATAATATCTTTCAATTCATGCTTCCCTCAGGTGGCCAGCATATTGATCCTTCATATGAAAGGCTAATGAGAAACACCATAAAACTAATTAATCATGTTTAAGGATCCTTGAGTTGGAATTAACTCTTTTCAATGATGGATGTAGCATCGGACCCAACAGGATCACACTGTGAATTGCAACAAATGTCATACATTATTCAGAAATAATCACAGCATTCAAATCAGGCCTGTCTCTGCAAAATATTAAGCCTTGGGCTGTGTAATCCCATGTGTATTGGAGGCCTCTGATGCCGGTATAAAGGACTCATTACCAGCCTTAGATATCAGGAAGGTACGGTGGTCACGTCTGCCAGCATGTGTATAATACAATTCTCTCAAGAAAAAGTCAGGAAACTGTGAAATCATAGCATAAGGGTGGTTAGAAACCTGTTAATAAGATGTTGAAGTGGTTCAGATTTTTAGCCTTTAGTCATTTGCTACTGTCGAACTTACTTTTGTAGGCATTTACAGGACATTTCTAAACACTTCCAAGTGAAGGTAATGACTGGTGCCTTTCAAACTTAGCTTTACCTGTGTTTAGGGGTGTTCAGAAAAAACAGAATTCTGTGCATCCAGGATCTGATTAGACACGATAATCGAGGCTATACTGATGTTAAATTGGCTAAACCCACTATAGTTTATTATATATATTTCTTTAATAGTGCTTATGTAGCTAGTAAATGAATAAACCTCCATGTAATGCTATTACTAGGCTACAGCTAGAGGAAGCTCTAAAGATTGGTAGTGTGATTTCAGGAGACTAACAACCAACAAGCTCACATTAAACTCGAAATCAGCAAGTGAGCAACATGTGTTCTCCTTTTGATACAGGTTAGTCACACTAGGTTTCTGATATCTTTGTTCAGTTTTGTGTTTGTTTAGTATCTTATATGTTAGTAATGGTAACTCTCTGCCACACATTGATGCACTTTTCCATGTGGCCTGCGTTGCCACTATAAGGAAAGTAATTATCTGTATAATGTGATCCATTTAAGTTAATGCATTAAACATGTCTGAGCAAGTGAGCACATGTGTTTTCTGTTCTCCTCTTGATACAGATACTGCAGGCTGCATCTGTCTCACACCCTGCACTCAGATCATCCTCTAACACTTTTCTCTCTGGAGAATAAAAGTACTTAGGCTTAGTTTACAGTTGCTGCGGGGGGGGTGTGGGGTTGTGCAGTATAAGAAATATGGTAGAGGCGTGTTATTAGCACCCCCAGGGGCTCCCTCTTAAGCTGCAAAGGTTGCAGAGGGAGGTGTACAAAAATTAACCCTGCTGTCACTTTTGGGAGACAGTACTGATCACTGAATGTGATCCATTCAACAGAATGGGGCTGCACTGTAATGGTCACGTGACATACAGTGCAGGGTTTAAGAGGTTAAAAAAATAAGGAGGTAATATAATGCCTCCTCACCACCTGTCAGATGCCCTCTGAGGAGTAATCCAACACAGATCATTCTTCAGGAGTTAACACAAGTGTAAAGGAGGCCTTAAGAGGCAGGGCAGCCATCTTGGATGTACTCCATTGAGCCAATTAACCAATAAGCATGTCCTTGGAGTGTGGGAGGACACTGGAGTGCCCAGGGGAAGCCCAAGCAAAAACAGGGAGAGCAATCCATGCAAGTAATTTCCTAGTCGGGGTTAAAACAATGACCCTAGTGCTGCACAGCAAAGCACTAACCACTAAGTCACTGTACTTTAAAGCAAGTACATTTAAACACAATAAAAAGTGATCGGGAAGGGATAAAAGTGGTTATTCTGCCCAGATAACTTCTTCATTTAGAAATGCTAAAGACAGGACTGCGCATGTGAATGTAACCAAATCTTTGAATACAAAAAAAATATAATCAGCTGACTTGAACAAAACCACTGTGCTTGGACAAAAATGAAACTATAGATACCTCGCAAAAAAAAAAGTTGTCCATAGCTCAAATGTCTTCCATTTCCTTCTGGAGTGGCCAAAATTGGAGTTGTGGGGGCCCTGCTGGCACCACCCAGCTCAACAAACTTTGAATGAAAAATCGAAGGAGTCGGGTGAAAAATTGTCACATGAATAGCAACTGCATTCCATTCGATGCATTCATTGTTTGGGTTTTCAGACAGCCATAGGTGCTGTGGTTGTGCGAAAACTACAGCCCAGAGGCATAGCTAGGGGGGGGCAGGGTGGTACATATGTACCCGGGCGCCAAGGTACAGGGGCGCCAAAATGAGGCTTACAACCAGGGGCGTATTTCCGCGAGGCAAACAAGGATCCACCCAACAGACGCCATTAGATCACCAGGGAGCCACTAATCACCAGGGAACCTCTCCGGTTGACCTGGGCATTGATTTCCATTTTTCCTCATCAAAGTGGAGCGATCCAGAGAAGTATTATTGGGAGAGGACTTCGTTGGACCTGCCGGCGAGACCAGAGATGACCTTGGAGAGGTTTTCCACCATTCCTGGGAGTCTTACATGGTGACCAGATGCTGTCCTTTTGCTGACCAGGCCCTGATGTCCATCATTATACATACAACGTTCTGTTTGTATGTCTTTGTGGTAAGCGCAATAATTTACCGGATCCGTCCACAAGCCTGTTTGGATTTTAATATATCCGTTTCCACTGTGGCATTTGTTTATTTCTCATCTTCATTTATATGGAACTGTTTAAAGTTTGATTGATGGTTTATCGTCTCATACATTGATGTTTGTTATATTATTTAGTGCTGCATACCATTTGTTATATTTTATTTAAATAGATGGCATACAATGTTATAGCAGGCAATGTTTCCAAAATCCTCCTCACCAAAATGGGGTAAAAGCAATTCAAGGGCTGAAACACCCTACCAGGAGAAAAGTAGAGTAAATGTAGACCTACAGTTACGTGATCTCAGCTAAAATCCAGAATCACACAGTCCAAACTCTGATTGTCCTCTTCCATAGTGATCCCATGACTAAATGGCTGGGATTTCTATTACAAGATCTCCTGCCAACTCACCTCCAGCAGCAATGTAAGGGCTGCCCTGAGAACATAGGAGAAAGGACACAGGACAGGGTGGACTGGAAGGCAGGAGAAGGATAAGAATAGGTGAGGAATGGCTTAAGGATATGATGTATGGAGCAAGGAAGATGTGGTCTAAACTTAGGGAAAGCTCAAGAAGGAACAGACAGCGAGGTGAGAAATGTGCCTCCTCTTCCCCCATCCTTTTGGTAAAAGTATAGATATGGCTATGATTAGTATTGCAAACATTTAGGGAATTGAGTTATGGGACGAGGATGGGGGGCTTATGGGGTATGTTGTACCTTTGTCACAGCAATGCTGGTCCATTGATGGTGCTAAAAAAGTAAGATCGTTGGTAATGTTTAGACCAGGGGTGTCAAACTGGCAGCTCCTCCAGCTGTTACCAAACTACAAGTCCCATAAGGCATTGCAAGGCTGAAAGTTACAAGTATGACTCCCACAGACGGAGGCATGATGGGACTTTTACAACCGCTGGAGGGCCGCCAATGTGACACCCCTGGTTTAGACAGTTGGGTTAACCTTAATGGTCACAAATATGTATGATTGTATGGTATTCATGAAGAAAGCAATTACCTGTTTAATCCAGGTGAATAATGGTGTAAATTGACTGTCCTGTACCCACTGAGCTGGTTTTGGATGGGTGGTAACCAGGCACAGGTTTACAAGGGAACATGACATTAGGTGGCACAGTCAGGAACCTGGTTTTATTTAGTAAAAGCTGTGGCCGTAACACTCTAATGAAAATCATTTGTGTCATAGTGAATTGTTTGTGAGGTTTATTGTGTTTGGGTCTGATGTTCAATATCACTTTACCTCTCAGCCAGGGTCATAAATTATATTTTTGGCAAAAGATTTGTCCTGCATGAAGATATTACAACATTCACTACCTTGACAAACACAGTTTCATGAAGTATGACTATCATTCTCTATTCAAAAGAATTTAGAATACCTCTACAAATTCCTCTACAAATGAACAACCCCAATTTTTCTTGTTATTTTGGGTAGAATTAGCCTTTAAATCATGGGAAATCCAATGGCAAAACATTTTAAAGACTGGAGTTTTGATCCTTTGCTGTAAAAGCTAGTAACGGGCTTAGCGCTACGAATTATTTATGAGGTTTCACAGTAAATGTAATTAATAGGTCATTTCTTAAATTAGAAGATATAAGAAGAGCAGCCATTCTGTGACCTCTCCTGACGGCATTTAATTAGCTGCTCCGCTCCTAAGTCTATTTTTATAAGGCTGCGGTGTGTGTTAGATGTCGGGGCTGTCACTAGGCATAACGCCGGCTGACATATTACATGGTGCGAATGTTAAATGAAGTAATGTCAGATCTAGCAGATTCCCTGCATTACAGTCGTAGTCTTATTATTACATTAGCCAAATTACTTAGCAAAGGCTGCACTGGATTTATCAAAACTGAAGGAAAATATCTGTGTTGCCCAAGACAACTTATACATTCAAAGCTATGGCAAACAGGGCTGTCCGTACCAGGGGCGGACTGACCATTTGGAAACTCGGGCACTGCCTGAGGGCCCGGGGTCAGTAGGGGGCCCTATGAGATGCCCCTGGTACCTTTTTCATAGGCTTTTTTGAGTTTGGGCAAGGACATAGGGGCCCCATGATCCCCTATTGCCCGGGGGCCCCATGAGTTGTCAGTCCGCCCCTGGTCCGTACATATCAGATAGACAGTGTGGGTTATTTACTAAAACGGCATGGTGCAAAAATTGGTGCTCTGCATAGAAACCAGTCAAGTTCCAGGTTTTATTGTCAAAGCTTAACTGAACAAGCTGAAGTTAGAAGCTGATTGGCTACCAGGCACAGTTGCACCAGATTCTGAGTGCTCTAGCTTTAGTAAATCTCCCTCAGTACTAAAAAGTTTTCTCCCAGTTACCAATAAGATGCAAACCTATGTGGGAAGTTTGATTTTGATTGGTGAGGCTGCAAACAGAAATTGAGGACATTGGATGGTGGGAGAACTGGGTGTTCTAAGTTTTAACTTTTAATGTTTAGGTTTTAATTTTGGATAAATTATGGAAGGGTTACAAAAGGAAATAAAAGTAAAAAAAAATATGAGGTCTATACTGAAAATAATGCAAAAGTGAGCATAACTTTTTTATAAGCTTACATAGGTCATTCAAATTTCACTAGAGGGTACAGTAGCTCTTCCTCTATAGCAGGGTTTTCCAAACTATGGCCCTACAGCTATTGAAATACTACAAGTCCCATCATGCCTCTGGGAGTCTTGCCTGTGGCTGTCAGAGTCTTGCAAGGCCTCATGGGACATGCAGTTCCTCAACACCTGAAGGGCCATAGTTTGGAGACCCCTGCTCTATAGTATCTCTTCTTTTTCTTTTTCATTGAAGGTAAATGATAGATTCCAAGCAAAAGCAACGTGCTGTCATCGAGTTCTTGATGAAGAAGGGAGGAAGACTGTCGGACATCCACAGAATGTTCACTGAGATGACGCCATTGACAGGAGTCACCAACAAGACATTGTTCTTGGTAATGGTGTCATCTCCAAAAACAGTCTGTACCCTGTGGATGGTGGACAGCTGTCACTCCTCCTTCTTCAAGAACTCAATGACAACAAATAATTACTGCTTGGAATCCATTAATTACCTGGAATGAAAAAAAAGGAAATATTAGAAGAGAAACTATAGAGAAAGAGTTAATCTACCTACATGTGAAATTTGAATGATCTATGTAAGTCAACTACTTCCTGACTGCACTATAGTCAAAAGAAGGTCACAACACGGTCGCCTAGTTGTGGGATGATGTCAATGGACATCATCACCAGAACCTTGTCTTTGGTGTGCATCAGACATCAGTTCCAATCAGTGCAGCATATCAGTGCCCATCAGTGCAGCATGTCAGTGCCCATTATTGTCACCTATCAGTGCCTATCAATGCCGCCTTATCAGTGCAGTCTCATCAGTACATCCACATCAGTGCCCATCAGTGCCACCTCACTAGTGCAGCCTCATCAGTGTACATCAAGTGCAGCTTCATCAGTGCCCATCATTGTAGCCTTATAGGAGCACATCAGCGAAGAAGAAAAATTACTTATTTGCTAAATTTTAAAACAGAAACTAAGAAAGAAAAATTATTTTTCAAACTTTTCGGTATTTTTTCGTTTGTTTAACAAAAAAATAAAAAAAATCAGTGATTAAATACAACCAGAAAAAAGCTCTATCTAAAAAAATAACAAAAATGTTATATGGGTACAGCGTTGCATGACCCTACACTTCCTCACCTGCTCACTGTGCCGAATCCTGAGCTAGATATGGCATAAAGATGCTTCAAATATAATGCCACGGGGGACTCTCTTACCCTTTAATGAGCTTAAACATATCTACAACTTGCCTAATTGGATTTTCTTCCATTTTCTGTAACTACAGCACATGGTTCCTGCTCAATTCTCAACTTTCCCAAACATGAAGACTTACCCTTTGGAAAGTATGTTAATAGAGGAAGACATACCCAAACCTCTGTCCTCTATTTACTCCTTACTATTTCCTTTGACCTCTCCCAAAATAGGTTCCCTTTATAATAAATGGTATGTGGATATTCTATCCCTCTCGGAAGATGACTAGGAGGACTACATTCTGCAATACGTCCCTGACATGATCTCTGCCAGAGATCATGAAATGTATCCATAGAATGTACTATACCCCTCAGTGACTGCCTGCAATTCATCCAGGCAGCGCGCCCCCCATTGTGATATGGCCAAGGGCACGTTTTGGTCTGGTTCAAAATTAAATACTTTCTGGACAGAGGTATTGAATACTATTAATTGAGTTGGCAAGCTGCCTTTCCCTATGGACTCCTTAGTACTGTTGCTAGGACTCACTGATTATGTGGAGACATCTGAACATGTCAAACTATTTATTTACTTTTTGGTCTATTTTGCCAGAAGGGAAATCGTATTGAAATGGAAACTGCCTACTCCGCCAACTGTTTCTGGCTAGAAGGCGGCGGTCAATGGGGCTCTTCCCCTATACAAAGCAACAGCAAAAAGTTCAAGACTAGTTTTGTAACACGCCAACAAATGGCAGCACAAGGCAAAGTCACGGGGAGCACCGACCTTTATAAATAAGCGAGCCAAAAGACATTGTCCTGTGTACATCGGGAGTTGTGCAACTGGAGCTACTCTGTCCATGTGAATGATCACATCTGCTATTTCATCATGGACAGCAAATTAGAACAAAGAGCAAATGTGAAATTCTGCGTGGAACTGGGCAAATATGTCACAGAGACATTTTACATGATTCGGCAAGTTTAAGGGGATGCTGCAATGAGTCGTCTGAGGTGTTTTGAGTGTCACATGCTCTTCAAGAGCGGAAGACCATCACTGGAAGACGATGAGAGATCAGGAAGACCTTCAGCGAGCTCAACCCCTGAAAATGACCTCTTATCAAAGATGAAGATCCAGCTCAAAGGTCGACATTTTGACAATGTTGTGGAGCTCCAGCAATTTGCCCAGTTTCATGCAGAAGTTCTACTGAGTCACACAATACTGTCTGTGCTGGAGTAGTCAGTCTGTGCAAGAAGGGGAGTCAGTACTGGGGATTTGTGCCGGGGGGGGGGGTTCTAAACTGTGTGGGTACATAGGGAGGGGGGATTTAAGAATGTTAGGGAAGATTTTCTCTGTGGGGAATGTTTCGTTAAGGGGTAAGACTTTGGTGTTCACAAATTATCACTTGCAGCAGAAATCACTGCCTGATCTTTCTCCAGACGCCTGGGAGGAAATGGAAGAAACTTTTGGAAATGGAAGAATCTTTGTAGAAATAACTGTTCGAACTCTGCTTCACTCTATGGGGAGCTGCCTTCACCATCCATCTGCCACCTAGGTCCCTTGAACTATGGACTTCCCTGTCTCCATTTGTCACTTCATCGCCACCCCATTTTGAACTCATTAATATTGTACGCCTATTCCCCTATTTGTATTTCTCCCGCTGTATCCGCCATTTGTCACTAACCTATCTAGACTCTTCATGTGTGGTCCTCTCCCAGCGCCGCTTTGTTTTTCATTTGTAGAAATAACTGTTACCTCTGGTCTTCTGATACAATTTATATTTACTGCATTCACTGGCTATATTTTATATGATTGAATGAGATTCGCATCTCATTCTAAATTTCTTAGGTGTTTTCAGTATATACAAAGCTTTTTCACATATTCCACTTTATGTCTACGTTTAGACATGTGTCTGAAACTTCTGCTCCTCTGAAAACCAATCCAGTTTCGGAGCCTTTTGACAGGTAGTGAGAAGGCAATATGGCACCTCCTCACCACCTGTTTTAATCCCATTTTTGCAGAACAAATGGATTAACTACGTGCATTTCAAAAGGTTTCATGGCAGTTCTCCATTTGCTTGAATGGGTCGCATTTAGTGGGACTGTTGCCCACTGATTGCGACAGGTTGGATAATTTTTTTGCCACTGGTGCATTGTAAACACTGCATGTGGATGGCATGAAAAGCGTGGCTCAACTATTCCTTTTTAATGTCCCACAATCACTAGTCTAAACAAGACTGAAGAGAAAAAGTACAATTTGCCATACCAACTGGGGAAACTCAGGAACTTCATGGGTTGTGTAAAAGCATTGTCAGTTGCCTTGAATGATAAATTGAATGATCATATTGCTATGTTTGTATCCACTTTAACCATCTAGTCTGGGCAGTAGTAAATTTATTTACATTTTTTATAACCTAAAAGCTCTTTAAAGCTCCAAATAAGGTACCCCTGTAAAGAAGGTCATTTGTCCATGCTGCCTGGTAACAATGCTCATTGGTTCAATCCACGGACCGCGTCCATCACCCTCTCTGTGCACCATACATTTCTGCCAGCTGCCCAGGCCCACCACAATGACCCCACCCCCGTGCCGCAGGATTCCCTCCTTTCCTTCCCACTGGCAGCTGCAAGCACACAATAGGATCCTTCAGGATGGACTAATAAAGGGCCCAGTCACATTTACCAGCCACTACCTTTCCTGAATGAACACAATGAGTGAGCAGTACCAATCACTCACTGTGCTTATTTATAACTGAAACAGTGCACTGTTTTGTTTTTTTTTGGGGGGGGGGGAACCTGTCAGGTTGGCTGTATGGGGCTTTGTGGTTTCTAACAGCAGCCCTGCTTACACAGGGGTGAGGACTCTCACCCTGCCACCATGTGACAACACTGGGCCAATCACTGGGCACCTGCATTGCTACATAAAAAAAAGTCACATGCTCCTACATACTTGGAAGTATCAGCTATTTTCTTCAATCCCTGTGACTGAACAGAGCAGCGAAGAAGAGAAATAAAGACGCCCTCCTGGGAAGGGAGAATTAAAGAGAACCTGTTGTTTTTCCCTTAATGGGTAAGCTTTAAATGCTTCTTACATCTATGCATCTGTAACTGTTTATAAAATTCTGCAGAGACAGTTAAATGTACCATCCCAATTGGGGAATAAAAAATCAACTTCTTTCCTTCTGTTAAAGTCTAGTGTCAAAGGGACCAGACAATTTTTCAGAGCACAGTGACATCTCTCAAAATTAGACTTTATGAAAAGGTTAATTATGTCTGCGCGGCCGTGAGCACAACAGCACCAGCTCAGAGAGATTTATTCATAATAATATGAGGCTCGTCTATCTCAGGCGGAGGAGCCTGCCTGTATAATTGTCGCAGACAGGATATTAACAGACTTATCTGTGCTGCCGAGGACAGTCTGACATAATTATTAAAGAAGAATTGGCCAAATACTAGCAGCCAATTGGATTCTGTCTTTCACCTTCCTGTAACACATCTACAGACATGAATGGGAAAATATGATTGGTTGCTGTCATGGATTGGCAATCTGCTCCCACTAGGGTGCGCTTTGGGTAACCAGGAGTTGGTAGCAGCACCTGAGACTATGAAGTGGCATTGACCACAGAGGACACACAAGTGGTTACGAAGAGTCTGGGGAGGAATGGATACCTAAAGGCACTGGTGGGGAGAACCTAGCATGCCTGCAAGACAGTGGAAATGAGAGTGCTTAGAAGGGCTGAGATGCAGAGCCTAAAGAGCCTCCTTGACCTCACCAGAGATCCTAGTGCTGGAGATGGGTTTAGCTGCAGGCAATGCTGAGGTTGCAGCCCTCTGATTCATCCAAGTCAGGATGTGGAAGGAGCACAAGTTGTGTTAAATACAAGGTGCTGAACAGCAGGTACTGGCAGGACACAGAGAACATGCTGGAAGCACACAGGAAATGAACAAGTCCCTTGCAGCACTGGGATGAAGGAATCACAATGCAATAGATAACACAGTAGGCCCTGATCTAGAGGAGTGCTGGGATGGCTGATTTTAATTGCAACCCCCAGGTCTCAATGATCAATGAGCCAGTTTGATGGGGGCAGTTGACATAGGGGAGAACTCAGATGGGGACATTTGATGTAAGGGGTACTTTGTTGGGGCCAATTAATGTCATGGCCACTCTGATGGGGACAAGGGGCAAGGAAGCAAGATGCAAGGGGCGCACTAGAATGAGGAGCGTTTATTTAAGAGGTCACTCTGATGGGGACAGTTGATGTAAGGGAGCCTTTGACGGGAACAGTTGATATAAGGGGAACACTCTGATTGGGGTAACTGATGTAAGGGGACAGATTTAGGGGGTGCTGAAGTGGGCTGATTTTATTTGCAGCCTGAAGGACTCTGATGGTGTATTCACAAATGAATGAGCCAGTCTGATGAGGACAGCTGATATAGGGTGTAACTCTAATGAAGGCAATTGATGTAAGGGGAAAATCTGATAGGGACAGTTGATGAATGGGGCACTCTGATAGGGACAACATGTAAGGGGGCACTCTGATGAGGATAGTTGATGTAAGGGGCCACTCTGATGAGGACAATTGATGTAAG